AACTTTTTGCTAATTGATAAACGCTTTAAATCTGACTAATTCGAAATTAAACCGTACAAGAACCTATTAAAAATGAAACTTTTCCGACGACTGTTTTTTTACCCCTACCACCGTAGTAACCTGAGTTGCAGTTGCAGTTGCAGTTACAATTAGTGCCTCAGCTGTGCCTGGGCTCCCACTCGGAATTTGATAAGGTCATGGCTACCGAAACTGAAACGGTTCAATAATGGGGCGGGGCGAGGCGAGGAGAGGGGGCTTCAGACTTCAGACTTGGGGGCCAGCCTTGACTGAGATGTTGGAAACGTACAGGACACGACCTTTCCAGTTTCCACCCTTCTTCACACACCCGTACCTAACCACACCGTCGCTGCTCCCAGTGCCAGTTATTACTGAACAACCCCTCTCTTTTTGGAAATTTTACATTTTAGCCTTCAATTCTATCATTCCTTACTTTGGCTTTTGTTTATGGCCATAATTAAGTTTATTAATGTCATTAAAAATTATCCAAATTTTAATTTAATTAATAAAATAATTAATATTTATTGTTTAATAAATTAAAATTAATTTATAAATATATATTTTTAAATATTATAATTAATTATTTACAAAAATTTATATTAATAAAATTAAAATTAAAATTAATAATCTTAATAAATTTAATAGTAACAATAATCTCGGCTTGCTTTACTGTTGAACCGTTGAGTCTTGATGCTCAGTACAAAGATTCTCGTTAATTGTTATTACATTTAATAATTTATTTTACCATTTATATACTAATTATTACATGTTTAAATCAATTTTATTTCATTTCACCATTTATCGGTACCACGTTTTCCAATTCTTTTATAAGGATTTAGGAGACAATTCTTTCCTTGCTTTAGTTATTTACAATCTTACAGAAAGTTTTGTATAAAACAAATTATTAGATATTGGCAAGCTCCCCCATACAAGTATAGGCTTATTTGATGGTTTTCATTTTACAATATAATACATTTTAAATTATAAAATAATAATTTTATAATTAATCTTAACTTGAACTCTTTTTTTATTTTTATATGTATCAAATGTAATCTTAGTTGCACTTGATCTTAACTCTATTTGATTTTAAATTTAAATTTTTCTAAAAAATTATAATAAAAATAAGGGATTTAAATTTTTAATTTTAATCATAAAATAACATTTATTTACAAATAAAACTAACCTTCAATTGAACTTCCTATACAGCCTACTAGTTGGCCGTGCTCCTCCACGAGGAGCAGGTGGATATTACCTATGTTCGAATATCTTCATTTACTGAATAAATATTAACATTAATTTAATTATTTTTTTTATTAAAAAAAAAAACAAATCTTTAATTTTTTGACCAATTTGTAATTATTTGTAAGCTTAATTGAGGAAGGAGAAAAAGGAGTTCGTAAAGTTCAAACATGTAACTCGCGAAAGTGAATAGTTTTAACCCAATGCCCAAAACCATTAAATCGAAATGGACCGTTCAACTAATCGTTAATTAAGGATGTTCATTGTTGCCCTTTCCTATCTATCATGTTATGCTATACTGTTGGCGCAACTGTACAAGCGTCATCAACTAATCTTCTAGGCACCAATAATTTCCCAAAAGGTATTATGGATCGTGCTCTCTGGCAGTCCTCCCCAACTTTCTTGCCCATCAACATCAAATTTCTTCTTCTTTAGATCCTAACAATGCCCTTTGGCAACACCATCACTGTTGCTGCATCACCTTACCATGCCATAACATATGGTTCAGCAGCACTGATATTGACAGGTTGATCAGAAGAACACAAGAGTAAGAATAGATAGAGGATAAGGGAAATATGGGGTCTCCACCTTCAATTTTGACAATTTAACCTCCTAAAACTGACTCGTGGTCCATGGAAGACAACCCGAAGAGGTATATATGCTCATTTTTAGTAGTTTTAGAGCTAAGAGTGTCGTTCTTCAAACTAAAAGAAGAAAGGTCACTGTGAAAAAATGTCTTCTTTCTTAAATCGTCCTCTTGTCCATCTCACCATTTTCAACCTTCTTCTTTTTAATCTTATTTATATTGAAATAATAATATTTTTAAATATAATAATTTAATTGACTAAAAAATATTGCCCTTCCCTTTATTTTCCTCCGAACAAATATATCATAAGTGTTATTTTTAAAATTTAACCTTAAATATATAGGGAGAAAATACTAAATATAACTCCAAACACTTTTAACTGAGGAAATTT